ATATATATATAGATGAGTTGAGTTGCTTGGAAATGTCTGTGGGGATTTCTGTGAAGCCGTCCAAATGAGGAGCTAAGAGAGTGGCAGTGTTATTGGCCTCTTTCCTTCAGCTCATGAGAAAGAGAGTGAAGCACCCAATCTATCAATGCTGATAGGACGAGAGGAGCTATTAATAAAGTCTCTCTATTGTTTTCAACTTGTTTAGCAGTGATCCAGAGTAAAGATGAGCTTTTTAATCTGTATCCCAAGGGTACAGTGCTAAACAGACAGGCAGGCTGTGTGGCCAAAAGACCAGACTCATTTGGCTTCAGCATGGGTAAAAAAAGCACTAAATATCTGAAGTGTCAAACATAAAGGTCAGTTGTACGACTATAAAACCCGTTTAGAAATACTGAGCAACCCAAAGGTATGGGTTTATTCAAGCTGAACGTGACAAGTTTGGTTAAAGTATTTCTGTTGTTCAGCCAAACACAGACAGAAAGCATTAAATAAATCCCTGCAGCATGAGTGATATGCGAGGGTACGCAGAGCTGCAGAACGCACGGATCACATCAGACACGGTTTACATGATACTAACTGTGAAAAGGCTTCTCGTCCTGATATCATCTAGGCTTCAGTTACACCTCTCGAGTTTCCTCTTATTATAAGGTCTATATAAAGCAAACTTGATCAGAAAGTCAATAATCAAAAGGCCTTCTGATCATTCTGGGAGATCCAAAAATGATAACACATTTCATTTAGCTCTGACAGTGTATGTTAAGGTTTGAATCTGTTTTATTCCAAATAAATGGCTTCTCCTAATTTATCCTATTTTTTCCAACCCAAAGAATCGCTCAGTGTTATGCCTTGTACGGTACTTAGCAAATATGTTTTCAATACACTGAACTTTCTTATGTTTTGTGATGTCACAACCACAACCCCCACTGTGTTTGAGTGGTAGTGAAAGAAAAGTAATGCATTGTTATTAAATGCTTAAAGATGCAAATCTAAAAAGTTTGGCCTCCATTTGTTTTCAGCCTCAACATCAAAATGGTAATAAAAAACAAAATGTGCTGCAGTTACAGCTTTAAGACTTTAGATGCTAGAGTAGTGGCCTATTCTACTATTCAAAACAGCTTAATTTGATTGAAATGGGGTAGGGAGAGAAGAAGGTTTGGATTTTACCTTGGCAATTCTAACTCCAAACTATGCTTTAATGCATTTCCTTGACTGTACCTTTAAGTTAGTAATACTTTTGTGAATTCATCCTCCACCCCATGCTCAGGTCTCTTCTTTTTGCTTACATTCAACTCAGCATAATGCTTCCAACTCCGTGTTTTATGATGTTTTACAAAATAAATCCAAGTATTAATTTGAAATGTTTGATTCTAACCTGACAAAATACAAAATTATTCAAAGGGTGTAAGCACCTTTAAGCAAAAACCATGTAATACTGCCCCTTCTTAGTATCCTCTCTTCATTCAACCTTGAAATAACTACATTATACACAGTGGCCTCCCCCTTACCTAATTATCCTTGATTAGCACTACCTCAAAGTGATCACGTGAAGGTGTACGCCCTCAGATGTCCAATACAACACCATTACGCCAAAGTTCCACCCGTTCAACCTCAAGAACTCAAATTTCTCCTTCTATTTATTTGAAGTGTTGTATTAAACCGACTTTTGCCAAGTTGAGATTTTTCATAAGGAGTGTGGAATTATCAACACATGCCAAAGAATGAACTGCTGCCTTTATTTAACAGGCCACCACAGCACTTCACATACCGGAAAAATCCTCAGATTCATATGTAATGACACTTTTACACACAGCCCATCTCCGAGATGGAATGCAGCCTCTGGATAAAGAACTGCAAGGTGAGGTTTTAAATACAATTAAAATAAATAGGAGCTATGAATTTAAGAATTCTGTTGGTTTCTAGGCAGTTTTTGCAATCAGGAATTACATCAACATGAAACAGTAACTCGCGTTCTGTGCATAACATTGTAAAATGTTAATTTAGGAGGGTCATAAAGTTTCCCCAAAAAGGTCAAGTACTCATGCCAGAATCATAAGGAGGTGCATGGAGCTTGGCAAGAAATTCTCTGACAAACAAGATGGGACATTAAGTACTAAATGTGCCATGGGATCACAGTTTCCAACCCCGTCAGCAGCCCTTGCAGCACTGCAATTTCAGAAACTATCAGGCTTTATTTCAAGTTTATTTACTCTTTCACCACTTCACTAAGTAACCCTTCCATTCGCCACTTCCTTCCAAAAATGGAGAAAATTCCTGAAAGTTAGAATATGTTTTTTTTCTACTTCTTTGACAGACTGGCCGATATCTGCCACCATAATTGCTTCCTTATTTGGTATATTAAATATTTACACTTGGCCCTTCTTAATTCCGATTTTATGAGAGATTGTAAAGTATATTAAGGAAAAAGACATTTATTTTAAAGGCACCGCTAACTCGGACCATCATCCCCAAATGGTTTATCTGGAACATCTAAGAGAAATGGTTTATGCTTTGAAGAAAAAAAAAATCCCTTTAGCTGTATGTGCATGGCGAAATTCCATCAACTTCTCATATAATGGTCTGACATACATGCTCTGCACACCACAGAAATCTCTCAAGCTGACAGGAGGAAACAGACACGACCATTGAGGAAACCTGCAGCTTGTACTTTCAAGGATTCCACAAAGGAGATGAGGGGAGATGGAAGAGCGTGGTGGGAAATATGCCCCGGGCAAAAGAGCTGCCTAGAACAAGGAGGGCTTTGGAAAAATTCTGATATTTCATGCAGGGTAGGACCACTGTGAGACTAAATCAGTCACACAAAGAAAACATAGCATGAGTGTGAGGGTTACATGACACAGGTGATGGTCGAATGGGGATGCTTTGCTAGAATAAGTGTTCTCATCGACAGATGTCCCTATACCATCCTTACCTCTCCTGCAGTGTCTCATGGCCATTTTGCACATCCTGGACTCAGCAATGGTGGGACACGGTATTGTGTCCTTGGGAGGTTTCTTGACGATGTACCTCGTTCGGGTCTCCAGACCCCACTTATAGCCACAGGTTTTGTTTCTCCTGGTGCAGGCTCCCCACTCACTCCACTGCCCCACCTCGCAGCCCTCTGCACGGGTTAAACAGAAACATGGACGTGCAATGAAATCAGAGAATTGTTCTACAGAGGCAGCTCATAGATCAAGCTTTCTCACTGGTTAGGGCGGCTTTACTGGGATGCTATGACAAATTTATGTATAGAGAATTTATTTTTTAAAGATAGAATGTTAGCTGTAGAGCAGTCAGTTGATGCTTATTTTTGAGATTATAATCTACAGGTAATGGAAACTCCAAATTATGTTTCTCTACAGTTAGAATCGTACACAAGAACAAAAAGCTGAGTACCTTTTATGTGAAAATGTCAGTCAAATAAAATACATATCCATGTACGGTATTAGCACTTAGTACTAGTACTTCCTTTTTGCTTAAATATTGGATCAATATGGCAGGAAGCCCAGGTTGCTATAATTGCAGCCTCAGGCTCCTCTGCATCGTTTATCTGATTTCTCTTATCTTCCATTTTGACAATGTGTAAAAAATTTTATGTGGGGTTCAGGCCAGGTGTTACTTTCTGCTGCAAGATAAAATCAGCATAAACTGGTTCTATGGTTTTAAAAATGGCATGGTTTCTAAAAGCATCCATTGGAAAATTTTAGACTGGACCTGACAATACTTGAGTTCTCTGCTCATCCTCCATTTCATTTTAGACAAGGTAAGTAAGTCTGGACATTTTTTTACCAAATATAAGCAGGAAAGTGAGTCCTCTATCTCAGATCCTGGATAAGTTTCTTCATATTGGCTCTAAAGTTGCTGTTCATGCTTTCTAAAATGAGCTTTTCTCTCCAAGCAGGGCTGTGGTTATCAATTCTGCCTGAAGATCTTTTCCCACCATACTTTTTTGCTTTCACTCAACTTTCCATTAACAAGTTTTAAAACAGACTTCTTTCCCAATGACTGGACAAGTCTTTAGTCGGCCATTTTTCTATTGCTGTGTTTGCTCATGTAAAATACATTATTTTGATATAAAACTATTCTATTTTTCCGTGAAGGATTTCTTATTTGAAAGCCTAAATCACTAGAAATAGCAGCTATAAGTAATATGAATAGTTATTCTATATGATGTTTATGAATGTAAATATCAAATTAAAACATTTTTTGTTTTGTTTTTTTCATTTTACGTACCTCCACACTCCATTGTGTCTTCCAGTGGGGCAAAACCCTCGGGGCACTTATCAAAACAGCGCCCTTTGTGTAGGTAAAAACCAGATTTGCACTTGGTACAGAAGTCTTTGCTGAAGCAGGACTCGCAGTTGTCTATCCTGCACCCTGGAGGAAGAAAGAGAAAAAAGAGGAAAAGTAATTTGGGTCTTAGCAATCCGCTCATGTGGAGTTGATTCAGAGCTATATCTTCAGGGAAAAAACTATTGTAGAAGGAATTGTAGCCTCGCTCATTCAAAAATAAAACAGTCAATGATTTTTGATTTATTTTACTTGGGAGAATCACCGTAGTGTTTTTGACATCAGCTCCTTTGTTCCATACATTCCTGTTTTTGCTTAAATATAGTAAATCAAAAGTGTAAAACCCAAAAAAGAGCAGAACAGCAGAAAGGGTGCGAAACGGAGAGAAGCTAAACTCTACCTACAGGTTCATCCAAAACTACATTGGCAAACGCACCAGCTCACATGTTTTAACTACTGGGTGCTGCAAAAGGAATGACTGTGTCTGTAATGTTATCTTATCTCTCCCAACTGTTCATATCTGTATCTTTTTCCATAACCAAAAGATTATTGGAGAGTCAGCTTTTCATTAAACTCTGAATGATGGGTTGAGATCACAGGGGTGGTTTGGGGTCCCTCAGGTTTTGGCTTAAGCTTTGAAGAAGAAGAAGAATGTGGGTTCGTGACTGAAGAGCAGCAAAGACAGAAGACAACATCTTGCTAAGTAAATACAGAAGGGTTTCAAGGCAAACACAACTGCAAACTCTGTGTCTCACGCCACGCCCTGTCGACTTGCATGTCGCACAGAGCAATTCTTGCGAAGAAAGGCACGGTAATGTGTCATCAAGGTCCCTGCAAATGACACGTCAAGCGGAGCCAAATTACAACAACCAAACCAACAGGGCGACGCACAGCCCCACATGATTAGAAGGAGCCTCCCAGAGCTGTCTAATTTATGTTTCTTCTCAGAAACTCTGTGTAGCCCTGTGGCCCAATACTCACAATCTCAAACCTAAAACCACCAGCTTCCACTTGTTGCACAGGGGCTTCCAGGTAGATTGGCATTATTTGTTCTGATTGTTCACAACACATACACCTGTGCACTCCTTAAAATACACTCTTCAAACTGTGTGATTTTTTTTCAGATATGAGACAGACAGAGAATAACGGCTGCTCTTTTATCTGTGACCCTTGGGGAAGGGAAGGTTCTCACAATCACACCCCTTAATTACACCATCTCTAGCTAACCATCAGGCCTCCTCCACGACATTCCTGCAAAACGAGGGGGTCCCTCCCCGCTTCACTTTGAACCCTAAAGTATGGCCTCTGCCCACTCACTCTGGTCTCACGCTTTCCCAACCAGTCTAAACAAACTATGAACACGCACGTTTCACAATCACACACATACCAATAAGATATGATTAGAGATAGGCCCACGCTACAGCAAAGCTTCGCTCTGGAAAACATGGCTGCCCTGACCATAAATCTTCCTTCTGTAGTTTTCATTCTACCTTACATTCTACACTACCAATTTAAACACCTAATACAATTCTTAGGTGTTTTTCCTTCTCTCTTGTTCTGTAATCTTAATTCAGAACCCTAAGAGCCTTAATGATTGATCATATCATTTTCAGCTTTTTTTACCTTGTAAAAATTGTCAAGCATTTCTGTTTTGAAACCCCTCTACTCTAAAACCTCTAAATAAAATCCAGTGTTATGAGCTCCATTAGGAAATATTATTGGGAAAGCGGAAGGAAGGAACATTCAATATCACTTGATCTATGTTATCCTTACTCTGAAACACGGCAGGGACAGCATCATGCTGTGTATACTTTTACTCAGGAGTTACCTGGAAGCTGATTTAAGTTGATAAGAAATTGAAAAGGGCCAAAATTCAAGGCAGTAATTGGAAAAAACAGTGGAGGCACAATAACTAACCATTTAGCCAAGTTTTTTAGATAAAATCATGGTCTTCAGACCTAAATCCATTGGAAAATCTGTGGCAAGATTTACTAAATTGATTTCTTAAGATTTTCTCAACTGAATAAGACTTAATTTGAGCTGAATGAGACAGATTTTAGAAGTGCATTGACTCAGGGGTTTAGAAAGAAATGCAGCAGAATTTTTTTCAATTGTGTGAGGAACAAAGTGCACATCTATCCCGACTACACAAGTGTGCCAAGCTGGTAGTCGGTGCAGCCTAACTGCAACACAGTGATTGAGTTAATGCATTGCAAACTGAAAAGCTCAACGTGTTCTTTTCTATTTACAACATATCATAGACTTCACAGGCTTGTCATCACCTGAGAGAGTAGCTCTAATGCAAATTCTAAAAAAAAATATGCAGGATACAGAGAACATCTGGCAGAGCTCTTATGCTTTGAGCTTGTTGTGCAGATCTTGGTTATTGTTGGCAAACGTCACTAACAGAGCTGTGTAAAACGTTTAATCCTTCCTACTAGGATAGCATTTATCAGAGTTTTGATTGAAGGGTGACATTTGCCTCTATATCTCTAATGTAAACGGAGAGCATTGTAAATGCTTGTAAGATTGGTGAAAGCACATGCAAAGGCACCCTGATACAGCAAAGATAGAGGAACATTGGATGAACAGAGATTATGGGAATGGTTTGGTCCAATGGGGATCACCACAAAGAGATAGATAGCTGAGTCCACCTATTAGCTAAAGAACTATTTTGATTACAGAGCGAAGATCCTGCACTAATCACTTGCCGAATCAGCGGTGAAGCTCCATGTAAAGCAGTGCTAGAAACAGATATAGGAAAGCAGGTTAATTACCCCGATGGGATTAAGCTCAGGCCTTACCTATAAAATCTTCCTTTAGGTAATATAGGATGACTAATGAGGAATAATGAGGTGACTACACCCCGGTGAAAGGCTCCTGTTCCTGAGACTTAAATCTATTATCTTAATTATCTCTCAGCCCGGTTCTTGCTATGAGTTATTATATAATGGGCGCAAGTGGAAAAGCCTTATGACCAGTTAGAAGAACTGCAAAAGATGTCAATGAAGCTGTTGACAGTGACGCTTTCACCCGTTGCAATGCAAGTCCAGAGTGTCAGGTTTTTACTTTTTCTTTTTGTGTCTTTCTTGAGCTTGCAAGTGAATCTAAAGCTAAAAAAAGACTCACTGGGTGGTCTGTACCAAGAACCCATTAGTTCTATCAAGGACACTTAAAGACATTTCTCAGCTTTGGCCAATTCATGTTATTTAGCAGACTCAGATCTCCATAAGCAATAAGTTAAACAATTAACATAAATATTCACTGTGTTTAGACAGATAATGAATTGGTACAATGCATTAACCTTGTTCCAGGTTAACTGTGCTGTAATATATTTAAGGCTTCACATATAAAGACTTAAATGGCCAAAAAGCTTATAGTTAGAGGGGTTCAGGCTATCTATCTATCTATCTATCTATCTATCTATCTATCTATCTATCTATCTATCTATCTATCTATCTATCTATCTATCTGTCT